TTTTTTTTTTTGTAATATGATAGTACAGCTTTAATAGTGGGAATTTATTTAGAATTTCTTTAATTGGAGTCTGGTAATAAAGTAACACCAATTTAAAACCATTACTGTTTTTTGCATAGGTTTTATGGACAAGAAGACAGAATTTAGCCTGCTTTCACTGAATAAACTTATGAATATGAAACAGGATTTTTAACCCACCTCCCCAGGATGTTGCTGGCAGCATAAACTCCAAGGTGTAAGGGTTAATGTTTTTTTCGTTTGGCAATTAACAATGAAGGAGTTTTAGTACTGGAATTTGACTGATAATATATGCTGTTCTGCCCTACTTTTAATTTAAAATGTGATGGTTGGTGGTAACAATATCTACTTCTTAATTAGTGATTTTATTTGCATAGCTTAAAATGCTTGGTGGAAACCAGATATCCATTGTTAGTACTATTTTGCAGCTTTTTTCTTTGCTTTTATTCTTGTTCAATTTGCTGAGGGACAAAGACTGATTTGATATGTTATTACAAGGTTTGCAGTTAGAATCTTTCCTGAATCAATCTACTTGACCATGGCACTTTAAAAATATTCTCACTAGCCTTTTTATTGCACAAGTAACTATTTAGTGAGGGGGTTAAAAAGGCAGGTTGTCCTGCTGTGCTGAGTCAACTGACTATGAGACACATTCACTGTTTTTTCCCCCAAATATTTTAATCAACTTTTCAGCTACAGAAAGCCTTCCCGTCCACCTGAGAAGAACCAGCCTGCTCCATTCCCCACACTTGTGCTACCGCTACCTCTCTAGATCAGCTTTTATGCTGTCAATTCCCAGCTCCAGCTCGAAGTCTTTCTCTGCCATAGACAAAATTAAACGTTGCCACTCCGAGGATGAGAACAGTAGAACTTCTCTCACCGTTGCTCTTAATACAGCAAAGTTCAGTTGTGCCATGGCTGCCCTGAGCCTGCAACTGGGAGAGATTCTCAGCCTCCTCTGAAAGCTCCCTGACCCCAAGCCCTGACGTAGGGGAGCAAAGAATACTGCTCACCACAGCCCCTCCTAGGCAGGAGAGCGTATCATGTAATGCCACACAAGACCAAACATGTGATGCATGCAGCTGATATCTCAGACAGTCAAACTGTATAGTTCCTTCATCTTGTGGAGTATTACAGGAAAGACATATATAAGGAATCCTAGGAGCATTCCTTAAAATGGCCATGCCATTGCTTTTTAGATGTGGTTGCTCTGTACATTTTTTTTCCTCTCTTTTAAATCTTATGAAGTTGGCAATACATGCATGCCACAGGCACTACTGCTGATGCAAAAGCATGTGTCGCCTTTGCCTTTTTAGTGAGCCTCTATTAAACATAATGTACATGAATTCAGCTTCGACAAATGTCACTCTCTGGAATGTTAGGGTGTCAAAAGTTGTTTTATAGAGTAAGAAGTCCTTGGTGTTTATTACTGACAAAGAGACCTGTTATTGTGGTATTTACAAATGACTTTTCAAGTTTTGTAGCTGATCAAAGACTTTAATCCACAGATCCTTATATCTCTATTGAAATGTGGCATCTTGCTGTGAAGATTTAAAAACAAGTGCCAAAAGTCAAGCGATCATTATTTTTACAGCTTCAAGTCCCAAAGGAGTGTACAACCCTTTTAAATATTTCAGATTTAGAAACTTTTCTTGTGTAGCAAATTTAAATATTGCTAACAATAAGACTGGGTTTAAAAGGCTTTTTAATCACCCTTCATACGTCTTTTAGAAACAGTTCACTTTCTTCTCAAAGCCAGTGGACCACAGGTTAAAAAAATTAAATCAGTTAATTATTGCTCTAATTCTATTAACTGTTCCTCATAATTTATAGATGTATATAGATGTGTATATGTAATGCCTATATGAATATACATATATTATAGATAGATAAGATAAAACTGCCATATAACTGGAAAGTTACCTACAGCCCAAATACACCGATATCTGCTGTATGAGACTGGTGAGAGTGATGGCCATTTGGATCAGGTCCCGTGAGTGTGTGGTTCGTTTTCTGTGATGCAACTAAAGCCATCAGACCGAACTCAATTCCTGTGTAAATTCGCTTGGTGGGATAAACATGGCGTATGAGATTGCTCTCATTTGGTCTCAGGACTGGAAAACTTCAGGGGCAGACCTACATCTGGTACTAATTGGTAGATCGCTGCTTGTGGGGTTTTTTTAAAAATGCTGCTCTATCTGTTTTCTATGCTAAAATGAAGCCAATGTATGTCCTAAACCTCAGAAATATGGATATTACTTTTTCCCCTAATAAAAGTATCTTCAAAGAGAGGACTGTATCAACATTCCTTTAAACTATATTTATTACACATGCTAAGAAAATGACCTTTTAATTCAGTTTATCAGAGGTGAAAGAATGAAGTATATTGTATTTGCCATGCACAGCCCCACATTCTCCTTCTGGGATTACTAAAAATGGCATCGAGTGTCATATCTGACCCAGTCACTCAGCAGTCTTGAAAATGAAGTACATGACTGCCATTGTCCAGTCCACGACTATCATTTCCCAGAGGCAGGTCTGGCATTTACATTATCTTAATAGCTATTGTTTAGCAACAAAAGGAATCACCTTTTACTTCCCCAGATATTCCAAAAAAAAAAAAAATCCCACTCTAAGAAGAAACTTAAAGAACAGGTGCAAATAAACAGAAAAGGAGCCCTCCCCTTATTATAATAAGGAAATAGAGATATCACAGCTACCTTTAGAGCTTGCATATTTATTGAACAAATCCTACTAAAATAGCTAAAATACATTGGGTACTTGTAGTGCATTATTAAAGATCACATTGTTACAAAAGCCTGCATTTTCAGCAGTACACAACTGCAACTATACATAAATGCCACAACTGCTGAATATTACTTCTTGCTTTATATACAGCACAGTAGACATATCTAATCTA